CATTTGAGAACTGCTTTTGAAGAGTGTCTACCAAAATTCTTCCTGCTGTGATTCTGAAAATGTTTACATACATTTAACTTATGATTGCTCAAATGTCACCAGCCCTGAAAAGTCTTCCTTTCCTGTATAGGTGGAGCTAAACAGCCTCATCTAACTTCCAATAAGCTTAACCCCTATTTCTGCTAGAGTCCTATCACCTGTTTACAGGATTAGCTACACAATGGGTGGTGCTCGGTGCAAAAATCAAAATGACTTTTGTCGAGTGCAGAGCATTAAAGCATGGGGCCCTTTGGAGCACGGAGCCCTGGGGACTGCACAGGTCCTATGCCCTTAAAACTTTCCCTCTCTATACTCCATCTCCCCCTGAAGATTTTGAGAACCTAGAGGGCAAGGACCTTGTCTGTCATCTGTCTTCCCAGAGCTCAGTGCAGTGCCTGACACCTTGTTGCCTTCAGGTTAACAGTCATGAGTGACCGTTTATTAGGCACTGCTGAGATTCCATTCACTGTGCCAAGCTCGTTATACAAAGTGTCAACCATCTGTAACATTCCTGGGGAGAGGCCTCATTCTTATTCCCATTTTACAGATGAGGAAACTGTAGCTTGGAGAGATTAAGAGATATATTCACAGTCATAGACATTCTATGAGAAAGAGCCAGAACTTAAACATAGGCATGACTCAGTGGTTCTCAATTAATTTTGCCCCTCAGGGGATATTTGGCAATGTCTGTCAACAATTTTGGTTGTCACAACTAGGGGTGCTACTGGCATCTAGTGGGTAGAGTCCAGGCATGCTGCTAAATATATATAACGATGCACAGGGCAGCCCCCTACAACACAGATCTATCTGCTCTAAAATGTCAAGAGTGCTGACATTGAAAAATTCTGGCCCTTGCCTCTTAAGTTTTAGTTTTTAATGTCACATATTTCATATTCCTTTCTTTATTTCCATTTCTTTATTTGTACATGCTATATTTATTTTTCTTAAATTGACTTTACATGATATACTTAAAAGAATAAACTACACCTTCAACATTGATGCCTGTGAATTCATGCTTGATGTGTTATTTTTGAATACGCATCGAAATAAATATAAAACTATTATTAATAATATAAAAAATACCTTTTTTGGGGGTACCACCAAAAATCATCTTCCCTATCACTGCCAGTCTGAGAGAACTATACCTCAGACCGACTTCACTGCTACAAGACTTCCCTTGTGTCTTCGAAATGAGAGAATAAAATGCATCAAATCAGCGTGTTGCTTGAAACTGGCAAGGTGCTAGCTACACCCTGCTTCTGTTTCATCTCCTTTTTTTCTCAAGGCTAACAGTTGCTTAGAAACCTCTTTGAAACCCTAAAAGCCACCTGATGAGTGGATGATTAATAAACAATTCATTTGGGTGAGGGCCTCAGCACATACGATTTAATTTGTCGAGTAGCTCATGGACATTGGTGGCAATGTCCTGGTATACAAACATCCTCTGTTACATCACTCCCTTCCCTAATTATTGGGGAGTACAATTGCATTCTTCTTGCAGTATGTACTGCAGTCTGACATAATTAAGGCTAGAGCAAATGAGATTCTTTTTTAGATATTAAAAGTGCCTGTGTTGTAAATAATAATGTCGTCATCTCTTTCATAGGAAGCACTTTCATTAAGAGCTGCATTTTAATTTCAGCACATTTGCATGAATTCATTTTGGTAGCAGTGGGGGGGCATTTGATATGATTTTTCATCTTCCATGAACTTACCAGGTGTTTCAATTAGGTAGCTTATACGCCCCCATCCCCCAGGAGCCCTGAAAGAGATACCTTCTCACTCACATGTTCCATATAGGGGCATGTTCCCAATAATCACACACTGATTAGAAGATAGCAACTATATTTACTGCTTGACATCCTTAGAGAAAAATCGACTTTTTCTTTGAAAAGTAAAATGAAGCAAGATGATTCCTCCCTCTTTTTGATATTTTTCAAAGGCTTGGGAAACAGGCTGGGGCAATATTCCAGGGAGCAGCAGCAGCTACAGTATGCAGGAACAGGAAGGGAATTTGGTTTGGGAAGAGCTCAAGGGGACAGGACATTTAAGGTTTGGAATCATTGGCTAATAAGCCACGCAGGGTGGATCCCATCTGCCTCTTTCAAAGCACAAGCTCTGCACTCTTCTTGTCACAAACAGGGGGCAGTCTCTGTTAATTAAAGCCGGGAGCAGCAGCCAGAGTGAGTTTCCTCTGAGGACAGGAGTCAAATGTCCTGGTGACAGGCAGTATTTTACAGAGCTTGGAGGCAGATCCTGAAATGGACTTTTCTGTCCATATTTTGTCTCTTTTCTCTGAAGTATTTTTTAAAAATCAAATTTAGAAGTGCCTTAAAACCCACAACCCTTGCAAGAAGGTGTCTGTGACCCACTGATCTACCATGTCCCTGGTTAACTCCTGCCCTGATGCTTGCTGGGAGGAACCATGGTGGGTGGAGTGGGGACAGGGGTATCAGCAGAGCCCTGGATTAGGAGTCTGGCATGTGTAACCAGCCCTGGCTTTACCATTTGCTCGCCATGTCATCTCCCACACAGCCCTTAACCTCTCTGAGCCTTAGCTTCCTGGATAGGAAACCTGCTAGAAGATCCCCTTCCAATTCTGATTTAGCATGTAGAAGTCTCCCAACCCCTTTACGAATGTCATGACAAGTAACTTCGTCATCTGTGCCCTAAGTGTTCCTTTCTTCTCTTGGTTTAAGACAGAGTCTTGCACAAAAGATATTAATTAATACAGCCCATACATTTTTTTTTTTTGAGTGCTGATCATGTTTAGAACTGTTCTAGGTGCTGGGGGACACAGTGAGAAAGTCAGAGCCTTTCCCATTTCAGACTTTACATCTCAATGTGGGGAGACAGACAAAAACCGTAAATACATGATATAACATAAGGTGGCTAGAGGGATTGGAGGTCTGTTTTATGCAGTGGTTAGAACACAGGCCTCTGGCTCAAATTTCTTGGGTCAAATGTCAACTTCCCATGTTCATTAGCTGAGCCACCATGGGCAGCTGGCATAACATAACTGCTTTGGATCTCAGTTTCTCCCTCTGTTGTGTGGGTCTGGCAATATTGACTAAGGGACAGGGAGTGACATGAGATCAGTCACTCAGTGGTTCAGCAAATATTTCCAGATTGTTTGCTCTATGCGAGGCACTGCTCTAAGCTTCTGTGAGGAGGTGCTTTTAGAAACAGCAAGCTTAGTGGGTATGTTGCAAGCCCTGAATAAATGTCAGCCTTCATTAGCGCTCACACACCGATGCTTGTGTTTGTAGGACTCACGAGGTGGTGGTGGGTGTGGGTTGCCAGTCATGACAGACTTACCATACTGTCCTATTTTGGGGATCCTACTATAACGAATCTGATAAATTTGGATTAACCAATCTCATACCGTCCCCAGGTGGGTTTGGGATATAATACTCCTGGATATGCCCTATCCGTGTTGCCCTGGTGTGTATTTGCAAATCTCTTTTAAAACATCATAAGGTGATGTTGCTTCAAAGAGCAGGGGTGGTGAAACTCCCTCTCATTTGGAGAAAACTTGCCATAGTCTCAATAAATCCTCCCACGCTTTTTCAATGGAGACCCTAGTATATAATTTCACAGGTGGTCCAACTTCTGGGGTCTTTGGAGATGCCCTGAAAAGCCCTTGACTGCAGCCAAATGGAGAGGAGGGCTGTGGAAACATCCTCTCTCTGCACATCGCCTAGCGGACTGCAAGTGTATACTTAGTTAAAGCAATTAAAAACAAAACGCCGGGGCGTGTGGAGATCTAAATTTGGTGTAGCAGCTTTGGTGCAAATCTTGTTCTGGGGGCTACTGGAGTCAAATTCAAGCAGAGGAGAGAAAGAAGTGGGAGGGGGCCTGTGGATAGCTGGAATCACTAGGAGAGAGGGGGCAGATTTGGAAACACTGAGAGAAGACTGCAGGCTGGAAGCTGAGGAAGCAAGGCCGAGCTCCGCAGCCCCCGGTGAGGATGTCCGGGGGAGGCAGGGTGTCCGTGGGGACAGGGGCTAGCTGGCTCCGGAGACCGATGCGCGGGTCCCAGGTCGGGGAGGGTGACAGAGGCTGGGTGCCAGGCCTTGCGCTGCGCCAGATCCGGGCGCGCAAAGGCGACGCCGCCGCCGTGTGCCCTCCTGTGGAGCGCGGGGAACGCTGCGGGGGCGAAGAGGGACAGAAAGCTGCAGGTCCCGGGGCCTGGGGGAGTTCCGAGGAAAGACCTTGCAGGACACGCCATTGCCTTGGCCTTGCCGCTGCCCCTCCCTACCCTCTAAGCCTCTTTGACTAGTTCATCCCAAGCCCCTCTCCCAGGGGTGCTTGCTTACCCCTGGCCCAGGGGCTTGTGACCTCTCTTTCCCGGCTCAGCCTCGGTCCTCGCCTCCGCCCAGAGAGTTGGGCCATCCGGGTTGTGCGCAGGGCTGGTGAGCGCAGCCAGGGGAAGGGCAAGGCGGCCCCGCACGGCTGGGAGGGGCGATTCGGACCAGACTGCACCCGGTCTGCCTCGGAGTGAAAGCCATCTAGTCTGTCCCCATCCTCTCGAGCCACCCTTCCCTGGTGGGCAGACTCCGGCCGCAGCTCCTGCGCTCGCACCCCTCAAAAAGCCACGGGCTGAGTCGCCTCTGCGCTCTGGACAAGTCTGTGCCGCGCCTCCCGCCCAGAGAGGGCGCGGGAGGTCCCGCCGCTGCCCTCCACCTGCCGGGAAACCCGAGCTCCTCCTGCTGCCTCGGCGGCGCGGAGCTCGCTCCTCCCAGCCCGCCCGCCGGGCTCAGCTCTGCACGCCCCCAACTCGCTCCCGCCCGCCCGAGTCACCTCTCCCCGCGCCCCCGCCCCTCCGGAGCTCGCGCTCGCCCCCCACCCCCCGCGCCTCTTCTGCCCGCCCTCCTCCCCTCCCCCTTCCCTCCTGCCCTCCCTTCATTCCACAAGTGTCGCTTCGCTCTTCCCAGCGCACTTGGCGAGCCGAAGAGGTGAGAGGGATACTGCGAGCGGGCGCGGGGCGGCGAGTCCGGAGCCGCAGGCCCCGGCGAGGCGCGGACCGCCCCACTGTCCCCTGCTCCCCGCCCCCGCCTCCCCCGGTGGCCGGCCGGACCTGCACCCCGCGCTTGCCCCCGCTCCTCCTCCCCCCGCCCGGCCCGGCGCGCTCCTCCCCGGCCGGCCCCTCGGCGCGCGGCGCGCTGGAGGCGAACGCGGGCTGAGCCGAGCGCAGTGGCCGCCGACCACCGAGCGCCCCGCGCCGCTCCCTGCATGTGCGGCCCGCGGCGGCTCGCAGCCCCCGGCAGCAGCCTCGGCAGCTTCGGCCGCGCCTCGAGAGGCGGCTGCAGCGGCTCCAGCGGCGGCCGAGCGGCAGAGCCCGGGCTGGGAGACACGATGCGCCGCGTCCTCCGGCTGCTCCTCGGCTGCTTCCTCACCGAGCTGTGCGCCCGCGTGTGCCGGGCGCAGGAGCGAGCGGGTCACGGGCAGCTGGCGCAACTGGGCGGCGTGTTGGTGCTGGCGGGGGGCAACCGCTCCGGGGCCGCCTCAGGAGAGGCCGGCGAAGGCGCTGGGGTGTCGGACGCGCCCCCGACCCGGGCGCCCACGCCAGACTTCTGCCGGGGCTACTTCGATGTCATGGGCCAGTGGGACCCGCCGTTCAACTGCAGCTCGGGCGACTTCATCTTCTGCTGCGGGACTTGTGGCTTCCGGTTCTGCTGCACGTTTAAGAAGCGGCGACTGAACCAAAGCACCTGCACCAACTACGACACGCCGCTCTGGCTCAACACCGGCAAGCCCCCTGCGCGCAAGGACGACCCCTTGCACGACCCCACCAAGGACAAGACCAACCTGATCGTCTACATCATCTGCGGGGTGGTGGCCGTCATGGTGCTTGTGGGCATCTTCACCAAGCTGGGGCTGGAGAAGGCGCACCGGCCCCAAAGGGAGCACATGTCCAGGTGGGCTGCCTCCCTTTCGTCCCCCCCGGGCTTCGCTCTCCCTTCTCTCCCCTCTCCTCTTCCCCCCCAGGCAATGGCGCTCCCCCTCTCCTGCATCCCAGCCTCTCTGCTGGGGGATGTCACCCGGGGAGCCAACTTCGGCTTGGAGCACGGAGAACGGGCGCTGGGCTCAGCACAGGAGTAGGTCTGAGTGAGTGTGTGTGTGTGTGTGTGTGTGTGTGTGTGTGTGTGTGTGTGGGTCTCTGCCCCCTCGCCCTCTTGCCGCCCCCTCCTGCCCGACGATTGAGGCGGACTTGAGACACACAGCCTGGGAGCCCGTAGTCCCCAAGTCTTGGGTTTTGGGGAGGGGGCCCATGGCACCCCTCGATTCCACATGCTAGCTTCTAGGTAAACAGGGGCAGGCGAGCCGAAAGGGAAGGGGGGCGTGTGTGAGCCCGCGCGCGCGTGTGTGAGGGAGGCAGGAAAGAGTGAGTGCCGCCTGCAACTCGTACGACTCGCGAAAATGAGGCTAAGGAGGTGGAGTGAGGGGAGGGCGAGAACAAAAGCCTTGCTTGGAGCGGCCGCCTCGCTTTCCCAGAGCTTCACCGTCCCTGGAATTGGGACTTCTGCTGCCCCCGCCCCTTAGCCCCCCTCGCCCCACCGCCCCATCCCTTTCTCGGGCCACCACCTCTCCCTGCCCGGGGCAGCGGCCACGGCTGCACCCCTTGCCCTGGCTGGCACGGCCTCCAGTGGCCCGAGACCCTCTCCGCGCGCCGTCACCCTCTAAGCACCCTGATCCGTCAACTTTCCCGTTTGCCTTATTCGTTATGCAAGTCCCAGCACGGGCAAGTCGCAGCAGATGGGAGAAGGCATTTGGGGATTAATGGAGCTATTTGCCTTTTGCTTTTTTTAAAAGTGTCTAAATTGATTCTCACAACTCAGTAACTTTGGAGGCGGAGGACGCAGCCACGAGCACTGAGCCCTCGGCCGCGGGAGAGAGGCGAGGGCTTGGGGTGAGGGCCGGGCGGGTGGGGTTTAAGAAGCTACGAGCCGCCTGCAAACAGCTGATGGCCCGGGCGCAAGCTTTAACTGTCCCCTTTCTCAATCTGGTTAACGAAGTCGCTTGTTTCCGCTCCTCCTCCGCCCCCTTAGCCCTCCGCTGGGGGCCCGTGTGTGCGCGCGCGTGTGTGTGCACGCGCTCCGTGTGCATGCCTAAAAAATCTGAACAAAGAGACCCACCAAAAATAGGCAAAGGAACATCACTACCTCACTAGTAATTATTTTCTATTTATACGCAGAGTATCCGATGAATTTTTTCGCCAGAGGGGAGGGATTTGGGGAGAAGAGGTGAAGAAGTTCTCCGTTTGGGTCAGCAGGGAGGTGTGGGTGGATGGTGGGGTCTTGCGGCACAGAAGTAAGCTCCGAGGGGCTTCAGGAAACCTTGACCTACTAAAACGGAGTAAAGCCCTGGCCCCACCCACCCCCTGCAATCGCAGGGTGACCTGTCACCTGTCCCACCGGCTGGGCCAGTTCCTATTAATTCCCGGGGTCTGCGTTAAGGGGAGGGGAGAAATGCATGCAGGACTGCGGCAGCGGGTGTCGCCTTGGTAGGGAGAGTATCGCTCAGAGACAGGTAGGCTGCCTTGCAGATTCGGGTTAACTCCTGCTGAAATCTCCACAGCCCTTTTCTGCAAACCAGCTCTTTCTTAAAGGAGCCCTCCTTGGTGGTTGTCGGGGTGGGAGGTGGGCAGGTGGGGAGAAAAGCTAACCTTTGCACATCTCTAGGAGAAAGTGATGCTAGATCTAGCCCTCTTTGATCTGCAGGTACCTAAGGGCCCAGCAGGAGCCCAACTTCCTGGTCCTGCCCCCTTGCAGCTCTGCTGGGGGGAAAAATGACTCCAGCTAAAGCTAAAGGGGTTTCTGGCTACATCCTTCTGCAGGTAACAGGGAAAGTCTGCTTGGAGGTAGAGCCTAGGGGTACCCAGTCCTGGGGTAGCAGAGCCTCCACACGAGACACAGCCTCTCCCAGTGTAAATTTTGGGAATTCCAGAATGGAGTGAAAGTGCATCCTTCTGAAAAGAGAGAAATGTCGATTTTTACTGCTGGCTTCTAAGGCGTGATTTGCAACCTTGAGGACTGCTTAGGATGACCAGGAGTGCTTTAAAAAAAAAAAAATCCTGTCGCCATGGGCCCCACTCTAGGCTATATAAATCTGAATCTCTAGGGTGGGACCTAAGCATCTATACTTTTGAAAAGCTCTCCAGGTGATTTTAATGTTCAACCAATCACTGCTAAGGAGAAGGAACTAACACCTGCTGAACACTGTACCAGGTGCCAGGACTGTACCAGGGGCGTGTGTAAACACTCCCTTATTTAGTTCTCGCCACTACCCTATGAGACAGGTGCTGTTTTAATTCCCTTTTACGTGCAAGAAATTCATGGCTCAGGTGAGGTGCCTTGCCCAAGGTCACACAGTTAGAAAATTGTGCAATCTCTAGTCTCCTGGTTTCAGCTGTGTCTGGGACAGATGTTTTCAGATCAAGTGAGCATCAGAATCTGGAGAGCTTCCTAAAATGCAGATTTTTGAGTTCCATCCACAGAGCTTCTGAGTCAATAGGTTGAAGGGGGTGCAGGGGCAGAAATCTGCATTGAACAACTCCCCTGAATGGCTCCAAGATGAGGTGGTCCAGGCTTGAGGAAACACTGGTCTTTGGTTTGGGAATATTTTACAGGGTTAGGGGATGGATAAATTAATTCAAGAGAAAAAAAAGGGGGCCAATATGACACTCGTGTTTGCTTTCTCCATGTATGTAACCTTTCTGTGGTGCTGGGGCTACCCCAGGTACCTGCCAAAAATGTATTATGCAGTTAATCATTTGGAGTCCCAGCTAGGACAATTGGCTTTTGCCTGATGGTGCTAAGGGGTGCTCTGGTGGGGACCAGCTTGCCATCAGAGAGGCTGCTAGAAGGCAAGGCAGCTTCCAGGTGAAGTTAACCTGTGGGCCACAGCCTCTTAATTTTTGTCTGGAGCTGCAAGGGACACTAGAATGGGGTTTGTTCTCAGACAGCCTGAAAGCACCTTCTCTTAAAATACATAGAGCAAGTGGCTGCTCCCTCACTACAAACTTTGCCCCTGGTGACCAGTAAACTTGTGTTTTTGAGAAGAGGCCTCCAAGATGTCAGTTTGCAGGCTCACAGCCCTGGGCATGTGGCCTGCTTCCTTTTGGGCTGATTAGGTCTGAGAAAAGGAGAAAGAGGGATTCTAGAGAGGGTGGGGGCTTGCATGCAACCGTGTGGGAACTGAACAAATGCCCACTCAGCAGCTGCAACCGCAGCCACAGTCAACCACTATTAACTGGAAGAAATGACTGCCCGTGGTAGCCAGCTATGGCTACAAAGCCGTGTGGACATGTTTTGTTTAGTCTACAAGGTATTTCGATTTACGTGTCTTTATTTTAAAGTTCTCAATTTTTTTTTTTATGGTGAAAACCTTTAAACATACACAAAACTTGAAAGAATAATAAAATGAACTCTAGTATATCCTTCATCTAGATTAGGGTTTCTCAGCTTTGACACTGTTGACATTTGTGGTTGGGTGATCCTTTGCTTGGGGCGGGGGGCTGTTCTGTGCATTGCAGGATGTTTGGCAGTGTCCCTGGCCTCTACCCACTAGATATCAGTACCACACATACCCCTCACCCAAGTTGTGACAGTGAAAAATGTCTCCAGACATTGCCAAATGTCATCTAGGGGCCAAATCGCCCCCACTTGATAACTGCTTATCTAGATTTAACAATTATTAGTATTTTGCCATATTTGCTTTATTGCTCTCATGTTCTCTCCATATATTTTTTACTTTCTTTTCCCACCTTCTCTCTTTTCCCTCCTCCCTCCCTCCCTCCTCCCTCCCATCTCTCTTCCCTCCCTCCCTTCTCTCTCCTCCCCTTTTCCTCTCTACCTTTACCCTCTCCTTCTCTCCCCTCCCCTTTTCTCCTTCTCTCCCTCCTCCCTTCCTCCCTCCCTTCCTTCCTTCCTTCCTTCCCTCTCTGAGACATTGAAAATAAGTTACAGACATGAGACTTAGTCCCTAAATATTTCAGCATGGAACTCCCAAGAACAAGGGCATTCTCCCACAGCTCCATTATCATACCCAAGAAAAAGAACAAAAATTCCAGAGTATCGTCAAATAGCCAATCATATTAAAGTTTCTCAGTCATACTGAAAATGTCTTTTAGAGCCTGGTTTTTCAAATCAGAATCCAGTCGAAGCTCATTGTATTTGGCTGTGAAATCTCTTTAGTGTCTATTATGCGTGGTGTTTTAAAACCAACTTGGAACCAGTTGCCAACATTTAAAAACTGGGAGATTTCACACAGACCTCTAGATTTCGGATTTCTCTGGAGAATTCAGTGGGTCTGGTGACGTTGGACCTGCATTTTCACATGCAACTGTTGGTTGCTGCCGAGTGGTGACTGCCCCCTTTAGGAAGCTCCAGGGTTCATCGCAGTGGCCACCTCCACCCAACTCACTCAATTATGTTACCTGAAGCCCCCAGAGAGTCCATCTGGCTGGTTGGACCAGCACAGGCTCCGGTCAGATGGCCTGAGATTCAATCCCGGCTCAGCCCCTTAACAGCTGTGTGATCTCGGAAGGTTGCGTCCCCTCTCGGAGTCTCAGGTTCTTGTCTGTAGTTGAGGATTCATGAGACTGGCCTTGGAAAGCAATTAGCCCGGGACCATCACATGGTCACTGCTCAGCAACTATCACCCTTAATCACCATCCTTGTTGGAATTTTCTGCCTCTTGTCTCCTGAAGAGAGTGGTGTTATATTGTGGATCTTGGTGACTAGCCCTTGCTATGTTATATTTATTTAGCTGTGTGACACTGGGCAAGTCTCTTAACCTCTCTGGATTTGCATTTTATTATTATTTTATTTTTATTTATTTATTTTTATTTCAGCATATTATGGGGATACAGATGATTAGGTTACATATGATGCCCTTACCCTCCCTCCCCGCCAAG